GTAATTTGTTTCTGCCTAGAGTTGAGTGACTTGACTGGTAAGGAAACAGTGATAGTGGGGTGACTATCCCTAAGGAGGCAGCAGACACCTTTCTACAGACTGTTCTGCTTACTTAAACCAGCTGTTCTCAGCTCTGTGTTGTTTTCCAAGGAAGAAGTGCATGCATTGGTACAAATCTTTGATCACTTCCAGAAAAATAATTCATACTTACATTCATTCATTCAACAGATGTTTAAGCAGCAAGGTATAGTCTTGGATTTCATCATACAGAGATGAAAGTATGCTTACTGTTCTCAAGAAACTCTCAATCCAAGTGGGGAAAATAGACAAACATACAGTATAAAGCTAACTATAATCCAATATGATAATGTTACAGTATGAATCAAACAGTATGTGAAAAGGGAGTGATTATACCTGAGGTTAGGGAGAACTTCAACAGAAAAGGTGACATACAAGGTCATCCATAAAAATGAATAGAAACACACTAGGCAGTGGAGTGAGGGAGCTTGGAATTCCATAAGGGCAACAGTAGGAGCAAGAAACTGGAGTGAAAGTAATCAAAGCTTGAAGTATATGGTAGAGGCCGGGAAGTAGTGGGGCTAAAGCAGGTGATTTGGAGCTGTATTGTAGAGGCCTTATAGATCAGGCCAGCAAACCTGGGTTTCACCTTCTGGACAGTAGTACTTTCAGCTTAAACAAACCCTGGCATGTGGTCAGGAGAGTTTACTGCCATTCAACCTAGTCCAGATCCGGTCTCTCTGAACTGAGAACTCTTAGTGAGTGAAATAAAGTTTCCTGCGCTGTACAGAATTGAATTCTGTCCGTCTCGGTGCTGACTTCATGTCCCTTGGCATAAAAAGCATCTTGGTAGCATTCTGTGAACTGCTCGTGCTACCCTTTGGTTTTCAAGCATAGTAGAGTTAATGTATCATTATACGTGTTAAGTATTTTATTTTCAAAGGCTGAGTGATGTCTGGAGCACTTAGTTATGCCTTCTTATTGTTTACCATTTTTATTATTTCATTCTTTTATCATCATGTAAGAATTCTATCTGAGTCGCTTTTACAAAGTTACTTGTTGGTGACAAATATTTAGAAAATGTAAATGAGGATTAGCATTTTTGCTGTCTTCCAACCAAATCAAAGGTGAAAATAGGCAGTAACACATTTTGTTTGGGATTTCAAGATTAGCCTCTGAAACCAGACTTTTTGGAGTTCTGATTCTAAAGTACCACTTACTAGATGTGTGAACTTGGATAATTACTTAATCTGCCTCAGCTTTCCATCTGTAAAATGGGGATAATAGTAATTACCTGCCGCAGGCTTGTTTTCTGAGTGTGTGTACTCAGTTGCTAGTCAGGCTCAATAAATGTTTTATTAAGTGCTCAATCATTGTTGGCTGATGTTAGTGTTAGTAGTGCCATTATTGTTACTGTTGTTATTTTCTTTTTCAAGGTACCGGGAGCTATAGGATTAAACTTGTCGCAATACACTTCTGTCAGTCCATTGTACTATCTGATCTCAGGGTGGCATGCAGTACCTACAGCTGCCCATTTTCCAGAATTACATAGTTAATCAGCTGCAAGTTAGCAACTTCACTGCAGAGTTCAAGGCCTTGCTTATTTATCTCTTTGATTGTAGGAGTTCCCAAAAGTCGTCGAGGAGAAATCTGGCAATTCCTAGCTTTGCAGTACCGCCTAAGACACCGATTGCCTAATAAACAGCAGCCGCCTGACATATCCTATAAAGAACTTTTGAAGCAGCTCACTGCTCAGCAGCATGCTATTCTTGTGGACTTAGGTATGTTTGTCTTAATTAACTATAATTTACATAGTAAACATCAGTCCTTTTAAGGAGTTTTTTTGGTTCTTTGTTTGTTTTTTTGGTGTCGATAAAGAGGATCTGTTGGTATATGCAGAGCTGCTGACTTTGTCCTTTTCTAGGAGCGAGTTGGCTTTATATCTGCTTGAAGATACTGTGCCTGAGTATACAATGAAGTTTTCACCCCAAAACTTTCCCTCTGAAGAGGGAGTCATCTGATATTTTGAGTCCTCATAAAGATCATATTATGGGGTGCTCTTAGTTACTGCATTTTCAACAACTGACTTTTGTTTGGGATAGACAATTATATCTTAATCAATGCTGGTTTTGAAACAGGTTAGAAAAGGTTAAAAGGGGGACCAAAAAGCTTAACAAAGGTATCCTAAGTATTCCTGGACAGATTGCTGAAAACAAGCCTTTAAATAGCACTTTAAAAAGCAGTGCAATAAGTGGTTATGTTGTGGAAGTCATGACTAAATACCCAGAGGGGGAATGAAATGTTACTGTCCTAATGTTACAGAAATGGATACTAATGACCTGGGGGAGAAGTTCCAGTGACAGCATCATAAAGCAGTCTTTTTTAAATGCTGAATGTCAAAGAATTTATGGAAAGTAAAAGTGGTCTGATTTTAAAAATTATATTTTCTCTAATTTTTTCTAAATTAATATATTGCATTATTTTAAAAATCTACATGATTAGATTAAATATTATACATTGGTATCTGACTATTTCATCTGTACTCCTAAAAGTTGATATATTTCAGGTAGTGAGGCATGTTATTTGAGCCCATTTGGAAAATTAAGGGATTACCTTATATTTGAGGTCATCTTATATTAGGGCACATAAAAAAATCACTGGCCCAAACCTAGTTTTTATCTCTATTCCTTTTGGACAACAAATAGCTTTTGTTGGGAAAGGGTCTAGCTCAGTTAAATTATTTTTGAGCCCAGAAAATTAAAAAGGGGATTTTATAAAGAAACTGAAAACTTGAGTTCTTATCCTGATTCTGCCACCAACTGTGGTGTTGGATAAATTATTTTACTTCTGAATATTAATCCTCTCCATTAAATGGGGTCATTAAACTAGGCAGTCCCTATGGCTCCCAGCAGATCTATGGTTCTGTGACCATAAATTGGTAATGCCATGAGGCTTGGTCAAGATGTCCTAATAAAGAGAGGGAAGAGGATGAGGTCAGATTACAGGAAATGCTAGTCAGAAAGAAATGGAGCTAGAATCAAGTTTGTGGATAGGTAGATAGTATATTTATAATTTTCTTTAGCAAAAATTTTAAGTGAGAAAGTAAAATGGACAATTTGCAGAATTGCTTATTTGACTCTACTTGTAGCCATCTGTGTTTCTTCAGCATGTTATTATTTTCTCATATCTTCTCCTTACTCTATAGAATTAATCCTAATCAATTCCTACGGGGGAAAATCACTTTTAAGCATATGTGAAAGGAAGCAGTTTAAAATTTGGCATTCTTGCAAGTTCTAACTGTCATGAGCAATCATGTCACAAGGAAGCTAATATACCTCTTCATTTTTGTGGCACAAGAAAAGTCTCATACCAGTATATACAGCTTTGGTGGGGAAGATGGATTTATTTCAGTGTTTATTACTAGCCTTTTAGGGCGGCAGGACTGACTTTGTTTGCTAGCTGAAGTGTCTCTATGGTCATTTTATACCCAGAGGTATATTTTAGAGGGGAATTTATTTGAAATTGGCTTGACCCTTTACTCTCCTTGTAATTTTTGGTTATATCGAAAAAAGAAAAGTGGTTTACATGGCTCATGCAGGTATTTTAAGAAACAGAGAGCAAAGGACATTTGAAAAAGAAGTATTTTCTGAATGGTAGTCTGAATTGTAAAGCAAAACAAACCCAAAAAGTCTCTCTGGTTTCATCTTACAAGAAAAGCAGGAATAATTTTCTTTCTGGACTACAAAGATTTCCTTTTAAATAATGTGACACCTCTTACAGAATTCTGTTTCCATTTAGAAGGTGGTCTTTATATGGTTTAGAATTTGCCTTGCTTTATCATCAGAATAAATTCTATGTTCCATTCTCTTGGTGTGTCTCCTGAATATATCATTAGTTTGTGAATTTTTATTTTATTTATTTTTTTTTTTTTTGCTAGAAAAAAGTGTTGGTAAAATATTTCCTCCCATATCATATATGTGGAGGTGGGATGGTAGTCTGGTCCGTAGGACTTGGGACTTTCTTGAGAGAGAGGGAGGAAGAGAGACTCTTAGATCAGTACTTCAAGCAACCCTCTTTGGTTTGGGAGTGGTCGTTTATTCTTAAAGGTCATTGAATTGCAATTTCAGCCTGGTCTCCAAGGCATCAGGAACATCTCAAAAATATTTCTTTTTTTCCTTTGCAGGAAGGACATTTCCTACTCACCCTTACTTTTCAGTTCAGCTTGGGGCAGGGCAGCTGTCACTCTTTAATCTCCTGAAAGCCTATTCTCTGCTGGACAAAGAAGTGGGTTACTGCCAGGGGATCAGCTTTGTGGCTGGAGTCCTGCTTCTGCACATGAGTGAAGAGCAAGCCTTTGAAATGCTGAAATTCCTCATGTATGACCTCGGCTTCCGCAAGCAGTATAGACCTGACATGATGTCGCTGCAGGTGAGGCTGTTGTTCTTCCCAGGGAACATGTAAAACTGTTACCAGAAGTCTTGGCTCTTTTCCAAATTACAGTTCAGATTCACAGAAATTTGGACTCATTCTCCTAGAACTTGAGTAGATGTAGGGGCATGTTTTAGTTCACTGTTTTGGTGTGGGATTTGGGATTTCAGTAATCATCTAAGTGTATGAGACTCATAGACAGGATAACTTTTCCATAAAGTCCTAAAATGAGTAAATAAGTAATTTAAGAAAGGAAGGTAGGTGTTGGCTACCCAAGCCTTTATCCCTTAAGTCTGTGGGTTCCATGGGGAATGTATCAAGTCATCTTTATTCACTTTTCTTCAACTTGTCAGTTGAAAAGTCTCATATATCTTTTGTTTAAAATCTGAAAATGTAATGTCTTTAGCCTTTTACTTTGAGTGTCATGTCATTGGTCTTCTTGAACTTACTGTGTCTCACTTCCTTTATCTGAATGTAAGATTGGCCCTTACAAAGGAACGGTGTGAAAGCCGGTGGTGCTTTTTCAGTCTGCTTTTCTGAGCAGGTTCTGAAGAAGCACCATTAAGATTTTCAGTTATTTTAAGTGCAGTGTTTACTGCCACTGCTGTCTTTAACCTATTTCAAACTCCCTGTTTACACATTTCTCCCCTACTTTAAGTATCACTTCTGTAAATGGGTTGGTTGCTAACAAGCAGTTTAAATTTTGTCTGTAGATATATATTTCAAACAACTGCTACCTTGCAATTTAAAGCTTTTAGTAGCAAAAAATATAAAGGAAGACTTTAAAGAGGACTGTCAGGGCTCTTCTCCCTTAAAACTATATAAACATGGCTCCCAGTTAGACATAATTTTATGCTTTAGAGAAGCAGTAAAATACTTTAAAGATGCTTTTAAAATATACTTTTTCCTGGTTCTCAATGATCGTTTTTACATTTAATATTTCAGTTGCCAATCTATAAGCAAAAAAGGACTGTGTTTTTACCCTATGAGTACTATAATAAATGGTATTTTCTTGAGAATTTGGGTGGAGAGGAAGTGTTTCATTTTTCTTTACTTCCTGAAGATGAAATTTTGGCTAGGGAGCTCGGGCTTTGCCCTCAACATTGGGTTTTCTGGTCTGAGTTCATATGTTGAGTGTTCACCAGGATACATAATTATAATGATTTGATTTGTTTTGTAGTTGATGACTACTCATACGTCTATTGAACAAGTCAAATAATGACTATGAAAGGTTTTAATTTTTACTTTTTAACAGTTTATCTTTTTCTTGATACCTATTAGGAAGCATTGGCTCCCTTGTAAGGAATGAAATAATTCTGATTTTCAGAAATAAAAGCTATCATTAGAATTTCATTGGTAGCTATCATTGGTATTTCAAAGAATGGGAAGTACCTATGAGTGGTGTTTGATTTTGGTCCACAGATATAAAGATCCAGCTATCAGCTTAAAAACGCAATGATTTTTCAATTTAAAATTTCCTCATCAATCTGACATTATAAAAGTTCATGTAAAAATTGGATTTATACATTAATTTAATATAACCTACAATTACCAAGAAATATTTTATGCCTATAATTTTGAAAATGCAGACATTTAAAAATCTTTGGCAACAGCATTCTTATAGGCCATAGTATTGGGGAACTTATTCTATGAAAACAGATCTTTTTACTTTATAAAGTGAGATATAACACTTTTCCACTTTCTAGAGCAGGAAGTTAGTGTCTTGGATCCAATTAATAGACTTTCAAAAGTATTAATATGTGTAAGTGCCTACTGCAGTGGGCTTGGACTTACATGATGGGATTTGGAATTTCTTGCTTCACTGTTGTTGAGCTTGAGCACTGCAGGCTCTCTGCTTCAGTTACCTTATCTGTAAAATGAGGGGGTTGAGATCTCTTTTAACTTCGAATGTCTGTATCTCATCCTGTTTGTCTGCTGTTTTCCGTGATAGGCATAAAAGCCTTTTATCTTTTTCTCTAAAGTCTTTATTCTCCACTTTTTTCCATCTTTCCCCCAGTCTCCTTTCTCTCTGCACCTTTCCTCCTCCAGTTCCACCTCTTTCATCAGAAGATTTGCCATGTTATCTGTAACGTAGAATTGCAGAATTATTTTTTTCTTAGCAAATACGATTTTATTATTAAGGCTTCCTTTGTAGGAAGCCCAAATTGTGTTCTTATGTGCCAGAGTATACTTTGATGAAGAAAATGCTCTCAATCCCTACTTGAGAATGTAGGAGGAAAAATTAAACATTGAAGTATTGCTTCTTTGTTATAATCACAAATGAACAAGAACAGTATGTTTTTGATGATGTGCTGTTTTTTTGTTCTGCTAGTTAGACTTGTTTGATTTTTGTGCTTACTGAATGAAATACTGATTCTTCTGTTCATAGATGCCCAGTATGTCTAGTTTCTAAAATGTGAATGGCCTAAGGGAAATGTATGATCTTTTTTCAACATGACTTACTGAGATAATAATCTCATTTCTTTTAAACCTTTTATGTTTGACTCCAGCTAAGCTTCTGCTTCTTGTTTTATAGCTATGACTTCCTGTGGCTCTTTAATTCCTTTTTTTTTCATTTCCAGTTTGTATGGAAACTCAGTTTCCAAAGATGTTTGTTATAGATAAGGGTGAAACAAATGATTTGTTGTATTTATGTACAGTACTTCATGATTTTCTTTTCCAAAGGAGTCTTTTGATTTTTAGTGCTGTGCTCTGAAAACAGTTGTTGAATTTACAACACAATTAGTTATTTTTATGTATTTTCATAGAGTTTAAGGGTGATGTTTTAATGATTACTTCTAGTGAAAGAAGTTGTACTAGATTTAATAAAATATTGTATACATTTCATGCCAAATGAACTTTCAGTGACTTGCTTTTATGATTTTAGTTAAGTGAACTTGAATTTTAATACCAACATTAACATAATAATAAAAATAAAATAATAATACTTTTACTATGTATTTAATATATGCAAATTTGTTATTAAGTACTAGAGCAATAAAATTAAAGTTAGTGTATTTTATGCACATTCAGATAAATGCATACTATTTTATTTTTCTTCTCCAAATTAACTTTAGATTCAGATGTACCAGCTGTCCAGGCTCCTTCATGACTATCACAGAGATCTCTACAATCATCTTGAAGAAAATGAAATCAGCCCCAGTCTCTATGCTGCCCCTTGGTTCCTCACATTGTTTGCCTCTCAGTTTTCACTAGGATTCGTAGCCAGAGTTTTTGGTAAGAGATGCCTATGATCAAAGGGAACAGTGTTATTTATTCCAATGAGTATACTTCTACCCACATCATATCCTGATTGTTTTATAGTGTGTTACACAGAATAGCAAATTGCTAGTGGAATTTAATAAATGTGCCTCGCTCTATTCTGATGGTAATTTGAAACCATATTGATCCTAAGTAAAACTGAAATTAAAAGGGAAAGAAGAAGAATTGGGTTTCTATATTTGAGTAAGCTGTAGGCCATAATGGAGCTCATATTTTCATTTTTATATTGCATAAAAATTGGAGTATACATTTTTTAAAACCTAGACTAAGGACATACTCTGTAATTTTCCAAATTTTCATATACATCTTTCTACCTCTGTTTTCTCTTTCTTTCTTTCTCTCTCTCTCTCTCTTCCTCCTTCCCTTCCTCCCTCCCTCCCTCCCTTCTTTCCTTCTTTCCCTTTCCCATTGCCCTCTTCATTTTGGATTCGAAACACAGAAACATGTTCTTTGACTGGATCAGAGGAAGTACCTAGATCAATATTGTTCCTAGTTCAGTGTTGTTTCTAATGGCATTTCTTAATCTGACTTTTTGTTGTTAACAGAGTAACTTTAATTCCTGTTTCATTGCTTAAGTGACTCTTCTTTCATGCTAATGAAGGGTGGTAGACAATCTCTATGACTAGGTAGCTCAGGGAAAAACACTAACCACAGGCAGCAGGGCCCAGGGCAAGTGATTGAGTAGCTATCTTGCTCTGATCACAGTGTTTGGCACTGGTAATAAAGAAAGAGTATAACATAGTTTATGCTCCCTTTGGGACCCTTAAATCTATTCACAAATCTTTATTTAAGTTCGTCTAAGTCTATTATTAATATTTCAAAAGCAAAAATCAAAAAAACCAACCAACTATTCTCTAGAGGTTTGTTCTGATGATATTGTTGAGGACCTCAATAGGCTTAAAAGAGCTTGCTCCATTTTTGTGTTCTGTTTATCTATCTGGTAGCCACAGTCAAAGTAGTCAGTATTCATTCACAACTGCATTTTTGCTATTAATAAATTGGAGTTTTTTGTCAATTTGTGAATATTGGCCCAATTGTAGGTCATTATCAGTGTTTAAAAAATGAAATAGAATAGAGTACAGTGAAAATATCAGGGAATATTACAAATAGTAAGGAAATATGTTGTTTGGAGAAACTTCAGTTTTGAGAATTTATGTGTAATATGTATACATATACCAGATTACAATGTACAGTATCTTTCTCATTGGGGGTTGCGGTTTAAAAAATTAAACACTGTGTTAGCAGTAATACAATCTATAGACAAAGTGCGGCAAACGAATAAAATCAAGATGCACTGAGTCAAATGTTCACTTGATTTTTCTTGTTTATTGAATATACATTATTGCTTTTCTCTAGTGACATTTTCTCTGAAGCTTGGGTTCCTATTAATGGCTCTTCTAGAAATTCATGTGTGTGTGTGTGTGTGTGTGTGTCTATATACACACACATGTATACAGATATATATTTCTCTCCTCAAAGAATATCAAATCAACATGGCATTTCAGGGCATGTCTCTTAGACTTACCCTTGGAAGCTTGATATCAGAGTTCAAGAAACAAATGTCCCCCGAAGTCTGTTCCTTGTTATGAGAATATGAATTATGCTGTGGGCTATCCAGTAGCTACTCAACCCTTTTCGTTGAATTTAGAAAAGAAAAGAGACTGTCAGGAAAGAGAAAGATGCATGAGCAAGAAGAATTACCATGTTTGAAATAATTATTCTTATAGTTCCCTCTATTTTAAGACTCCCTGTTGTATATTATTGATTAAAGAATGACATAGATTGAGAGAAATTTTCGTGCAAAAATATTTGGTACTTTTCCAAACTATTGCATGCTTATATTTGTAACAAAGGAGAGTTCAGAGTTATGGTAGTTTTTCTTTTTCTCCTCTGATTTAGGTTGTATATTTATTTGTTTTGATTTTTCTTGTGAAGTTTTTTTAAATTTCCTGCTCTGATATAGATTTAATTGCATATTAACTGGTTCATTTGCTTTTTAATTATGGTAAGGAGAGTCTGGATAGGACTAATTAGTTATGTTGATTTGTTTTTGTGATCCTGTTGTAAAGAAAAATCTAAATGTAAGTTGAATATGTGCCTTTGAAGTTTACCTAGTCTGCATTAAATTTGCCATTAAAAATTATAAATAATACATAGACAAACATATAATTTGTCCCTTTTTATCCCGGCCTTCCCTGAGAGTCTTAATAAGTAAGGGGCAACATCTGTTTATTTGTTTCAGTCATACTGAATTTTTAAAAAAAATTCTAGATGGCTTTGACCAGTTTTCTTTTGCAAAATGTATAAAACAAACAAAAATCTTTAGGACAGAGAGCATGCTTTTTTACAACAGTGGATGCATAATTTTGATCATGAAAATTATATCTCTTCTTTTAGATATTATTTTTCTTCAGGGAACTGAAGTTATCTTTAAGGTTGCACTCAGCCTACTGAGCAGCCAAGAGGCCCTTATAATGGAATGTGAAAACTTTGAGAATATCGTCGAATTTCTTAAAAGCACGCTACCTGATATGAATACCTCTGAAATGGAAAAAATTATTACCCAGGTATGATTTAAATGCTCATAGCAAGATATAAGATTATACAGCAATGCTGATTATGTATTAAATATTTTAGCATAAAAACATTATTTTGCTTGACAGGTATTTTTTTTCAAGTTTTTTTTTTTTTTACTTTGATCAGATACATTTTATTTAGAAATGAGACTATTGCGAAATTTCTACATTGTGACATTGTTTATCTTGCTATGTGTGGGAAATGTGGTTTAGTGCTACATAATGAATTTTTTAGGAATGCTTTCCGTTGAAACCAATGCTAAGACTGAAGATAGAACTGACAGAGTCAGGGAGACCTCAGAATAAAATGAGATCCACTTGTCTCTCTTAAATTGCTAATTCTGTTGTATTAATAAAATATACAAGGGGGTCATGTGTCAAGAACACAGGCTTTGGAATTAGAAAACATTGGGTTTGTATCTTCGATTAGTTGTTTGGCTTGCACGCATCACCAGAGTATTCTAAACCCTAGTTATCTCAGCTCCAAAATGGGACAATACTGATCTGAGAGGTTTTGTGAAACTTAAATGAGGAGACTGGACTTATCAGCCTTGGTCCCTACAGGAAACATTCTCCCTCGAATGAGTCAAATGAAGGAACCATTTACAGAGGTGTGGGCAGGGTGAAGGAAACCGACACGGATGTTCAGTGTCCCGAAACTGGTAACAGAGGGCAGCTGTTCATACCTCTAGTGCTGAGGGGCAAGCGGAGGGTGGAGGATATGATAGAGTTACCAGGGCCAGTGAGAGCCGGATCTGTGGAGGAGAGGTCTCTGATGGTCGTGGTAGTCTTGGTGAACGAAGCAGAGAGGGATCAGGGAAGAAATATCCAACCTCTTTCTTCTGCCCCTTCTCATCTCCTGGTGGCATCTTCCCTTGGCCAAACCCAACCAGAAGCCAGCCATAAAGGAAGTGTGGGGAATGCAGTTCTGCTTCCCACGGTGCAGTAGAATGGATGAGAGCAGAGAATAGATTTAGGAAGCCAATGGACAGTTATCTGCACACCGTATGTCTAGTTCCTGACTTTCCATAGGGACCAGGTGAGTGGTACTTATATATTGATGCTGTTCAGGTGAAGTGGACAAGCTAAAGGCCAAATTTGTAGGTATGATAGTCCTGATTTATGAGCTTTGATAAAGTTCACCACTTTCCTGGAGGTACTTGGGAGAGTAGAAAGAAGACAGAGTTTAGAGTGAGAGAAAGGGAGTTTGGAGTCTTAGTTCTGGTGCCCTGCCACCTACCAGCTCTGTGACTTTGGGCAAGTTACAACCTCTTTGAATCTCAACTTCCTCCTCTATGAAATGGGGACAACAATAATAGATCTAAATAGATTCATATTGTTTTTAGGAGCAAATATAACCAATAAGTTAAAGTATTTTGTACACAGTCATTCGCACTATAGTATGAAGTGTTATTATATGATTACATATAAAATTTTCTTTGCATTTCATAGAATCTAAATCATGATTAGATTATTCAGTAAATATCTGTGAATAGTTTTTATTTGTTAAAATGCTCTGTAAACTTATAGTCTTTATTTATATATTTACTTGTTTATTAATTCTTCAGAATTATCTTTTTTTTGACTGGCAAGCAGTCAGGAATTGTGGTTTTAGAGATTTAAAATCAGACATCACCTCCCTTATAAAATTAATGAGGAAATTTCCTGGCTTTATAGATTACTTCTAGAATTAATGGGTAGAATTTATAGGTTTGAACTTGATATTTGACAAAATTTTCTAACAATTAGAGTTAATTAACTATGGAATAAACTGCTGATATTAAAGGAGACCTTGATGAGCTTTATTTATGGACACTGTAAAAATGGAAATAATGCAGAAAAGCACAAGGAAAAAAATAAAAGTAACTACAGATCTCAACATGATAACTACAGATCTCAACATGATAACCTTTGAAACTTCCTATTACGTGTCTCTTTGCTTATATACACATTAAAACGTATGCAGTTTTACATAGGTGAAATCATATTACATATGCTATTGTGCAACCTGATGTTTAATTAAAATATATAGAGAGTGTTAGATGTTTTTCCATGACAATAAATATAGATCCATGTCATCATTTTTAATGGTTATGTAATAGTCCATTGTGTCCATATCCCCTAGGTAAGGAAAAAGTGATGATTATTTGAGAGGGATGACCAGTTGGTCTAGAAATCCCCTATTAAAATTGTGATATTTGATTATCTCTAATAGTAGTAGGGAAAGTCAGGTTTTTTTGTGGTTTCTTTTCTCTTCACAGCATTAGAATAGCTGCTTGAATGGCAGCTGCTGCCTCTCCTTTTCCCTAGCAATTTTAGACTGGGGAAGGGATTGCCTGTCTTCCAACTTCGAAGAGAACTGCCTTCCTATTTGGTGGTGATATGGGGCAGTGGCAGCAGCCCTAATTAAAATTTACAGCTCTGGACAGTGCTCAGGGTGTGCAAGCCTGAGAATTCTTTGTGCAGTAAAATATGTAAATTACTCCCTAAGAGTTTCACATAGAATAGCAAGTGGATGAAAACATTTATTAAGACCTTTCTACTCCATTGACACATATATTTGAAATGTTTTTGATCTCTTAATATAGTAATACCCTATGCAATTTTGCTTACTAATCAGCAAAGATTATCTCTACCATAGATAATAATTACTGAATAACTAATGTTTATCTGGTATACTACATTTTAGGAGATAGTTACTAGATTTTGAAAATCTTGGTTTCAAAATACCCTTGGACATTTCTAGTAACTTGGTCTCATTATGAGAATGTTTCAATTGCATAGAAATAATCTATCTGTTTTTATGTTGACAGTCTAATCTGCATCTAATTTGTTCTTGTATTGACAGTCACACCTGTTTTTGTTTTCCTTTTTGTATGCTTTAATGTTCCTTATTAATAACTATTTAGAAATATGTATGAAGTACACCAGGACACACAGACGGTATCTTAAGGGCAGCCTAACCCATGGTGCTTTCACTGCAGGTTTTTGAGATGGATATTTCTAAGCAGTTACATGCCTATGAGGTGGAATATCACGTGCTGCAGGATGAGCTGCAGGAATCATCCTATGTCTGTGAGGATAGTGAGCCCATAGAAAAGCTGGAGAGGGCCAATAGCCAACTGAAAAGACAAAACATGGACCTCCTAGAAAAATTACAGGTAAAGAAATAAGGTTTTAACGACAGAAGTACATGCATGCACAGAACTGTACTGGAAATGGTAGGGACACACATGGAAGGAACCACTGCTGACCAAGGGCCTAGATTGTGTCTGAATCAGATAGTGTCCAAGAGCTCTAGAGGCTGCACGTGACATATGAATTTTCCTCCCTTCACTTGGGTGGAAAAATGTACACTCTTGAAATAGTTAAGTGGCAATTCAAAGCAGAATCTGGTTAAATACCTATTGCAAGTTGTACTATTTGGTTAAGTTCAAGGGAGGAAGAAGTGAAAATGGGAAATTGGGACAGCTGTGAGGAACTTGGGCGTGAGCTGGAATCTGAGGGGTGGACAGAAGAAAGGAGTGAGGAGGGTCTTTAAGTTGAGCCCAGGGGGAGAGTGACATCAGTAAGAAGGACGTGGCAGAGCAGCGGAGTTAGCTTGTGTCAGCTTAAGCTTCATGCTGGGGAGAGGTAGAGTAAATACGATGAAGGCAGAATTGTAGCTGACTTGTCGTGTCAAGCCAAAGAGCATGGCTTTAATCTTGTCCAGAGGGAACTTCCCGAAAGTTTTCAAGCCACGCTTTAGAAAGATCAATTTGGAAACCTTGATGAGGACAGATTAGGATGGGGAGAGAAGGGCAGAGGGCATGCCATTAGCAAAAATCTGATTGGGAATGATGAGACTTGTCTAGAGTAAAACAGAATTGGAAAGAGAAGGAGACATTTCTAGGTGAATTGAATGGAAACATAGGCTCTGCCATCAAGGAGTTCACAATTGTTAGGGAATATAAAATGCTATGTATTTATTTATAAATACACATTTATAAAAGCAATTTATTGTAAAGTAATTTTCTGCATTTGCAACTCGTATAAGGTGTGCTGTGTATACGAGTGAACAAGGGAGGGAGGTTGGCAGGTGATCCTTCCTGGGGGGAGATGACTTAGAGCTGAAGTGCCTCATAGTTCCTTGGTTTCTGTTTTTCCCCAACACTGCACCTGCCTCCAAACAAGAAAACTCTAAAACTCTGCTTCTGTGTGGTGAATCCTGTCTTAAGAGCAGCTAGGAAAGAGAAAAAGGTTAGAAATGAGGGGTCTCTAACGTAGCTGCTCCCCAAGAATAGGAACACTTCCTTCACTTCGTCTTAAATTAGCTTTGGCTCATAGACAATTGTATCCCTTTTCCTACTCAAAAAAGAGCCAACATGGTCTATTTTCAAGAAGAAAAATAGATACTTGGTGTACTATCCCTTATTACTTGGATATTACAATGGTGATTAACTGGAGAATTTCCTTATTAGTGAAGGTGGGTTTGCACTTGTTTGATTTTATAATGATACTTCTTCATTGTTACAAATGTTTTCATTGGCAGTTCAATGTAGTTATCCTCAAGTTACTTGGGTGCCCCTGACACCCATAAAAACAAATGGAATTCCAAGTACAGGTTTAGAGAGCCCTGCATTTCCAGTCAGAGAGTGAAAATCCTCTGTTATCACGGCACGGCAGTGTCAGGAATCTCCTGTTCTCCTTCAGCCAGGCCAGGTCCCAGTCTCTCAGAGAGCATCAGTGTGTGTGATGTGAGGACCCTACCATCATCAGGGGGTGATTTAGAATTCCGTTCTTGGTATATTCAGTGAGAGGGATGAATCCTGTTAGTACCAAAGTTATATTTTTGAGAAACCTAAAAATCTCCATTTCATGGAGGTTTTCAGAGTATTTGCTTCACATAATATTTTACCAAGCAATTTCATATGGCCTGGCTGCTGCTTTAATGAAGAACCAGACTATTCAGATTTTTGATTTGGAGGATTTTTTTTTTTTTTTTCCAAACAGGTGGCTCATGCTAAAATCCAGGCCTTGGAATCAAACCTGGAAAACCTTTTGACCAGAGAGACCAAAATGAAGTCTTTAATCCGGACTCTAGAACAAGAAAAAATGGCTTATCAAAAGACCGTGGAGCAAATCCGGAAGCTGCTGCCAGCCGATGCTCTAGCCAATTGTGAAGTGCTCCTGAGAGACCTAAACTGCAACCCTAACAACAAAGCCAAGTCAGGAAATAAGCCATAATTTAAGAGGTGCGGTCTCCGCAGAAAGTGCTCCTTAGAATACCACAGAAAGGAAGAGCTGCATGCTGCCGGCCCAGAGCTGGACCCTGACGCTAATGGAACCACCCCCTACTGGTGCTGAGCCCCTAGTCACAGCAGGTGGACCCCACTGTCATCAGAGCATGCCAGTCCTAAGCCATTGTACATATGTAGACTGGTTTTTGTTGTTGTTGCCATGTACATATATATAAAATGAACGCAGAGAGTTCATGCTTTCAGAGCAAAATGGGTAGATGTATATTTAGAGCAATTTTTTTAGTCAAAACTTCATGAAATCCACACCAAAGGGAAGTTAAAGTGGAATTCCCCTTCGACACATGTGAAATCTTTTTGTCTTTAGAGTGAAACAAAGCTAGAGCATCTTTGTATATTGACATATACTTGAAAAAAATGAATGTATTTTTTTCTCCAAAGAACGGCATGTTTCACTTAATGGTGGAAAGGTGGAAACATTTATGTAACTTTATGTGTATCTGTCTTAAAATCTACTAACATTGTCTATATGAGTAAAATGACTGATTGCTAGTAATGCTCCTATGGGTTTTTCATGGAGGTAGGGGCCTCTCTCCCTGCCTGCTTTGTGCCAACTAGCATGTTGCATCTACATGCATTTTGAGTCTGATTAGGCGTCACTTTGGACATGCGTAAGGAGAGAGCAGGGCATTGTGGCTGAGCCTGCCCAGCTCAAGGTAAAGGAGAATGTTGCTAATTTTCTAGCAAATTAGACCAGCATTGTTACTCAAACTAAAAATATCATGCCTGAAAATTTTAATTTAGGACCTAAATTGTCTAGATTAGCTTTCTATGTTTTTATTTAAATGACTCCTACAGTTGTCAGCAGACTCCCCTTTACTTGGTGCCATAGTCATGAAATGCCAATGATTTGCCATTTTTCCACCAAATTGTGAAAGCTCTTAATTCAGTTCTCTACCTTAAATTTAGTGTAAGAAAATGCAATTATGATTGATTTTCCAAAGATGACAAGCTGTATTCAAATGCTGATTCTTTTGTTCCAGTTGACAGAAGCTACTAAGCTATTAGTCTTCTTCCCCTCTCGTGTGAACATTTTTGAAAACTGTGAAATGTTTAGGAACAAACTGTTGAAATCCATTAGAATAGACAGGGAAAGTGGCACCAGCTTGACTAAAACCTGAAATTCTGCATCCGTACTCCCTACTTCCTCAGCCTCCAGATAGCCTATTAGAGGACATTCGTACATGCTGGATGTTCGGAAGGAAGGTAATTTTCAAAGTACACATGCAGTTCTCTATTTTGGAAATGACTCTATGATAGTGCCTCTGAAAGTTGATGCGGCACTTTTGCCTTTCCAAACGGTATTTATCATCACTATTCTTTGCAGTACTTGTATTTTCACAGATGGATTATCTGGGGTAATTTTCTTCAAAGGGAGTTTGTTATACACAATCTAAAATTTGTTATAGAGTAGGAGAGTAAAGCTCTAAAGGTTTCAGAAAGTCTTGAACAGATAAACATCTGAAACCCCCTGTACCCTGTTACCAGTGTGAATGTAATGACTCGCCTTACAGATCAGCGTGCCCTTGAATCCAGGCAGTTTCTTAAAAGACAATAAAGTCTTATTAGTAAAATTAATGTAACTTCTAGTTTCTAGAAAATGCTGATTCTGGCTACCCCCCCCAATTCAGTTGGGGCACCAATTGATTTGTTGCTTGGATTTCCTGAAAATTTCTCTATTTGCAGGAGGGTTTTTTTTTTTCTACCAGGAATATGACAAATATCTTTTTACTGCCTGGTGATGCAAATTACCTTGTGGGTATGATACACAGGTGGTAGCCAAGGAATCTTTATGTCGGGGAAAGAAACCTTTTCTTTCTGTTTATTCACTTTAAAGCAAACTTTATGCTGGATGTTTAGAATCGACATTATGAATTGCATTATGGTGTTCAGAGATTAAGGTGACTTGGATACAATATTTTATTTAGAAATGATTTTGTTTTAATTTGTGATTTTTTAAAATGTTGCACCAGTTATGTTTCATGCGTTGTTACATCTTTATCAGGTTAATGTAATGTCTAGTTCATTTCCAATAAATACATTGCTGCAGTTTCCTTGGCTTATTGGTTTTACTTTTGTTACTTTTTGGGAGAGAAGAAGCTCTTGGTTAGAGTCCTTTAAAGGTCTGCATGGGGTGGATTGTTGCTGCTTAAGATTGCTACACTGATAGATTCTGCCTCCTAGAATCTGAGACAAGATAATTTTAAAAGACACTTATGAAAGTACATTGTTACCAGTTTTTCAACTTCTTTCCCAGTGGAGACTTTTGCTGATGACAACAGAAAAAAAAGAGCAACTACACTGACAGATTTGCATTCTACCCCTTTTATTTTCTAGGCGCCCTCGTAGCAAGGGAGAGAAAGAGGATAAGGAAACACGAAGTTTTTCAATTGGATTAGCTCCAAAATGATTAAGAATTAAGGGCATTTACTGATGGACATGATATGAATGTATTTACATAAAATATATATCTTTTAGAATATTCTCATGTATATTTGTAATCCACTAAAAGGATGCTATATCTTCTTGCTAACTTTGTTTTGTATTACATATAGCAGTCAAACATTTGAGAAGGAGGCAGCATAGGTTTAATAGTATAGTCTCAATATCCGTGTTGATGCACCCATGTTGTCACTATTTCACCAATTTTTTTTTCTCACAAGGCTACATTAAGAACAAGAAATCTGTCATCTGATGGCATGAAGTATTTAGTTCTCTACCACGATGTGACACTCTGATTAGCTACCATGTAATGAGAAAAGCACTAGATTTGGGGGCGGGGGGGACATTTTAGATTTGAGTCTTGAGTCCGCCATTTTTATTTATTCATTCAACAAATAGTTTCTGTGAGCCTATGCCAAGCTAGATGCTGAGTCTTCAAAGGTGGAGAAGATACAGTTCTTGTCTTCAAAGAGCTTGTGGTCTAGGCAGGGGGCAGGGTGGTGGCGGCAGTGGTGGTGGTGAATGATTAGAAAACAGGAGACTTTGTGCAGTAAACATTTGCAAAGTAGTACAGACTGGAGTCATTTCACTCAGCATGGACAGGAGGGGCTGGGTAGCACTTGGCGTGGTTGTCAGAAGTGGTGTGAGGGAGGGATGCTTGATCCGAGTCTGGAAGCACCGGTGGAAGTTGATGCGGTTGTGTAAAGCAGCATCTGCATGAGAGGTTGGTGCAGCAAGTCCTGAGATAAAGTCGTTTTGTTCAATGTTGTTTGGGTATAACGTTGATGAAAAAAACATCGATTCCTGGGCAGAGCCACAGTTTACCCGGCCTGGTGTCTCCATGGGTTTTCTCTGGGTACTCAGGTTTCCTCCAATATCCCCAAACCGTACCCTTTACGTCCATTGGCATATCTAAATGGTCCCAGAGTGAGTGAGCGTGTGGGTGTGTGTATGAGCACGCCCTGCGATGGGACAGCATCCTGTCCGTCGTGGGTTCCCGCCCTGCACCCCGAGCTGCCAGGATAGGCTCTGGGCACCCGAGACCCTGAACTGGAATGAGCAGGCTGGAAAAGGAACGAATGAATGAATGAATACAAATTATTGTAAAATGACAATTTGTCAAGTCTATGATGATCATACAAATGCGTGACAATAAATGGTGCAGTATGCAAGTGCTCGGCGAGCCCCCCATGGCCACATCTGTTCCTGTTTGAACTGTGTGGAGGGAGGAGGTGCTCCTGATGGTGTCCACTTTGCAAACATTTACTCCTTGCTTTAACCACCACCACTAGACCGCCAGCGCTCATTGGTTCACCAAAACTTGAGTAAATAATTATCTTATTTGTTTTGATTAATCTTTCTTAAAAGTATGTATAACTCACATTTATTTGAACGGTTAATATTAGAAGTGTTTTGGGTCTTCATTAAGAAGGTTGGTGATGTTTTTGTGATCAGAAATATGTCATAGGAACTTTAATTCCTGTGTATATCAATTAACCTATGTTAAGATTTGGTTTCATTATGCGTTGTTTAAAGTGGCAGGTTCCAAGAACCTATCGATGAGGTTACGTGAGGATTTACTGTATATAAATAACTCAGTCCTTAATCCTGAACTGTAGTTAGTATAGTAAGTATAGTTACACGGGGATATAGTGGGAGATGAGTTCCTGACAAGCAAGGGCTGTATCACAAAGGTCTTTGTAGACCACGTGAAGGAGTCTGACCTCTCCCTGGCTGGCAATGGGGGCCATTAATGAACGGTAACCTGGAGAGAGACATCAGATTTGCTCCAATCCATTTGATACATTTGGACAGAAACTAGGGAGTAGGAGACTATAATTAGGTGACTACAATAAAAATCCAGGTTAAAAAAAAACAGTACAAGCCTGTTCTAGGACAGTGGCCTTTGAGAAAGAGAATTGGGCTGATTTCTCTCTCTCTTTCATTTATCAGTTGCTGAAACCTGCTAGTTTGTCTGCAAAATATTTCCTCATTTTTTTTTTTTTCCGCGTGAGCTACCCTAGTTCATTTATGTTCTTGCTCTAGTGGGTTAACTGAGACCATTGCCTACTTCTCGGGGGCAAGCTCCTAAACCACAGATACTGAGTTACTTGATTTTTGTCTTGCTGAGTGAGAGATGCAAGCCCAGGGTGGGGCTGAATGGCTCAGTTGAATGGGGGGAAGGATCTAGAATTGAGAGGGAATTTGCTGGAAGTATAGGAAAAAAGCAATAGAAAAGATGTTAAGTGGGGATTTGGGGAGCAAAATGCTATTTTTCCTCCAATTTACCCATGATGTTCAATACGTTGCCAATATCTTGGTGCTGCATGCTGTGGAACCAGATCTCCTTTGATGCAAGTGCCATTTCAAGGTGAATGCAGCATCGGACCTGCCAAAGGTAGCTTGTGCAAATATGGGCTGTCATCCCTTAACCGGATTGCTCCCTGCCCTTAGTGCACCTCCCCTCAGGCAAAGGGACTTTCCTAAAACATAAATCTCATTAACTCTGTCCTCAGCCTAAAATCCTTCTTTCCTCCCAGGATCACATCCAACCCCTAAAATGACATATTCAACTTTGATGAGCAGGTCCCTGATAACCTGTCCAGCTTGATTTCCTTCCTCTGGCCTGGTCTTGTCCTGTCCCCTAATCAAGTGGCTAAATTCCATCTCTGGAGAGCCCCTTTCTTCCTGCCTCCGTCTGGCTCACTCCTGCATGACACCTTTGCGTGTCTTGGTGGGAGGAACAACCACACCCCCGCTACAGTCCAAGGAGCAGTGTCATAGGTCATCTAGGGGAAGGGGGTGCTGCTGAACGTCACAGACATCTTGACAGCTCCCAGGTGAGATGCATATTAAAAAAAAGCTAACTCCATCATTAGCTTGTTGGAAAAACGTATTAATGGATTTTGAAGAGGTAGGTGTGGTTTTATTTAGCATTTTATGTTTCTTGATGGCCTACTATGTCAGGCACATTGCTAGATAGTGGGACCTCAAAAATGTCTCTCTCTTGAATTCTCTGAGTTGATTCTTGTCTGACAAATTCACAACTTTTATGAAAAAGAATCATAACATGGAGTAACACTTTAATTCTAGTGCTTTGCCCGTCATCATAAATATATGTTATATGCTATTACTATGTACAAGTTATATCATATCAGCATAATGTATGGTATCTTACACTCCACATTAAATATAGTACGAGGTACGATATGAATAATCCGGGAACATCATTCACGTATACGATAGTGTGAATGATGCATCCTAGAGTTGTGTAATGTAGCAGCTGATAAAATACATTACATATTATATAGTATATTAATACATATACATAGTATATTGAGAGCTGAGGCCATGTATCCTACACAAATTATGGCCTATATTAATATGATCTTACTA